TTGGTTTCCATCTGTTGCTTCTTGTCCTGCCTTCTGGTGCTTTGTAGAATAAATGGACCCCCTTTCTTGGTGGCTGCCCCTCAGATATTGAAACACTGCTATCCTGTCACCTCCAGTCTTTCTTTTCATTAAACTAGACATACACAATTCCTGCTCATATATTTTAGCCTCTAATCCCCTAATCATCTGCTCGAGCAGGGGGCTGGAGTAGAGTAGAGTAGAGTAGAATAGAATAGAATAGAATAGAATAGAATAGAATAGAATAGAATAGAATAGAATAGAATAGAATAGAATAGAATAGAATAGAGCTTGAAGGGACTAGAAGACCTCCAAGATCCCTTCCAGCTCTATTCTATTCTATTCTATTCTATTCTATATAAAGATTCTATTCTATTCTATTCTATTCTATATAAAGATTCTATTCTATTCTACTCTACTCTACTCTACTCTACTCTATTGTTTCTCTTCTCTGTACTCATTCTGCAGATTTTGGGGGGTCTTTTTTTCCCATTAAGGCAAAGTGTGGGATGACCTGTCTACAGTGATGGCAGCTTCAGAAAAGGATGGAGACTGTTTCAAAAGGATACGTCTGCCTTCAATATACATAGACCATTTTTCTTTTCCCATTTTTTTTTTAAAAAAAGCATTCCTGAGTTTCTTTGTCTAGTATCTTGGATACTAAGGATCTCCCACGCTTGTGGAAAAAAAACCCCACAACCTGCTACAACAATTACTAGGGAGGGGGGAGATGGATAAAAAAAATGTGGGAGCACTAAATCAAATGATGGAGTTATAGCTATTAGTGGACAAAGGGCAAATATAACACGAAAACAATGCCATGGGCCTGCTTTCTTTTCTTCTCTCTCTCTCTCTCTCTCTCTTTAAATAGTTCAAGCCTCATTTCCTAGAATGAGAAATGTAGAGGGATCATCCATTCTCCTTGAGTGAATGGCTGCTCGTCTAAAGGGCATATTTCTTGAATAAAAAGCATTTGCGTTTAAACAAACGCACCACTCTGCCAGCAGTGTTCAACACCTGACATCAAGCCAGGATAGGGTTAGTTTGATTTTGACTGGGATCCACCCAGTCACTGAAGATTTTTGACTTTATTATTTTTTTAAGACTTAGTATGTTTATTTACATAAACTGAGGCCACTGTAGCTTCTTCAGCAAAGCAGACTTAGGCAAAATATGGATTATTAGGACAATGCCTGTAAACTCTCTCCATTTCTCCCACCCTTATGTTTTACAGTTCCTTCTTTTCCCCCCCAAATTTGATATCCAAATGAAAATCCATTTATGTCCTTTCTTAAAGGCTCCAGTTTCAAAGTTAGAGGACGTCCTCGGCTTACCACAGTCCATTTAGTGATGGTTCAAAGTTACAACGGTGCTGAAAAAAAGGACTTATGACTATTTTTCACACGTACGACCGTTGCAACGTTCCCAGGATCACATGATCAAAAGCCAGACACTTGGCAACTGGCTCATATTTATGACGGGGTGCAGTCTGCTGGGGTCATGGGATCCCTTTTTGCGAACTTCTGACAAGCACGGTCAATGGGAAAAGGCAGATTCACTTAACAACCGTGTTACTTGCTTAACAGCTGCAGTGATCCACTTAACAACAGTGGTAAGAAAGGTGGCAAAATGGGGCAAAACTCACTTAACAAATGTCTCCTGTAGCAACGTAAATTTTGGGCTCTGTTGTGGTCGTAAGTTGAGGACTGCTTGTATACCAGCCATTTCTATAACAACAAATCTATCTAATCAGCAAAACCCAAAATCAAAATTTCTTCCCCCCCCACCTCATTCCCCCCCCCCCCGCTTTTTGGATTTTGTGCTTGAGAGGACGAGTGACTTCCTAAAGGCAGGCGAACAGACGTTGCCCTTTTAAAGAGAGAAAGATCCTGATTTCCACCAGAAATGGACAGACACAAGAGACCCCCAGGCCACCAGACTCAACCACAATTGAAAAACAGCCGAATCTTTGTTCATCCCTAATCTCCAAGTATGAAGAATGCCTAAAGGAACAGAAAATCCATTTTTGTTTTTGTTTTTTTGGTGCGGAAATCTGCGTTCCAGACCCTCTTCAAACAAGCATCCCCTATTCTGAATTCCCAATCCCTAATGTTGTGTGTGTGCCTGTGTGTGTGTGTGTGTGTGCCTGTGTGTGTGTGTGTGTGTGTATGTGCATGTGTGTTTAAGTTGTTTGTTTCTAGTTGGCCCAGATCCCAGGCTTTCAGCCAAATGCAAGTAGTGCAATCTAGCAGCAAAAAAAAAAAAAAAAAAAAAAGGAATTAACACACTCAATGGAGTTTTATACATTACTCAAGGATAAATTATGACCCTTGGCAAAATCCCATTTTGGCTATTCCAGGGAATGCAAAGGAAAGTCCAACAGTTCGCAGGGCATTGACAGAAAAAAGGACCTCCCCGCTTTCAAACACAAAACCCCAAAGAATTTTTTTTTTTAAAAAAGAAATCCAATCGAGCTGAATAACTAAGCTTGTCCTTTTCCAAAACAAAAGGGAAACAGATTCTTCTTTCTCTCTCCTCCCTGAACACACACACAGAGAGAAGAAGAAGAAGAAGAAGAAGAAGAAGAAGAAGAAGAAGAAGAAGAAGAAGAAGAAGAAGAAGAGGAGGAGGAGGAGGAGGAGGAGGAGGAGGAGGAGGAGGAGGCGGTGGAGGAGAGGGAGGTAGAAAGAGAAAGAGAGAGGAGAGGGAGAAAGAGAGAGACAGGAAGAAAGAGAGAAAGGAGAGGAAGAAAGAGAGAAAGGAGAGGGAGAAAGAGACACAGCGAGAAAGAGAGAGGGGAGAGGGAGAAAGAAAGAGAAAGAGAGAGAGATGTTTTCTTTACTGTACCATTTAAAAAAAAACCTTAACCCCTTCCAAAATATCCCCCTATATGTAATAAAAACAACGTGGGTAGACAAAAAGTCAGCAACGATTTGGTTGGTTATATGTATTTGCAAAAAAAAAAAAAGGTTTGGGAAACAATTTTGGCAACTTGGTGTCCTTTTGTTTGGCAGTGTGTGTTTTCTTGCTTTAGGTTTCCTTCCAGGGCAGGGTATTAATTGGCCCGCAATCCATTGATTTGCTTTCTGATTTGCACCAGAAGCACAAAGCTTTCCCTAACAATGGAGCGTCCCAATTAGACTTCTTGGAGCTACTGGAGGTGAATGCAAAATTAGCCAGAATAAAAAGGTTGCTGGCTGGAATATTTTGGGACCCTGGGATCTAGGGAGAGAAAGCTGATCCCTCTTTGAAAGTTTCTAAAAGGGAGTTGTGATGATCAAGAAGGGTGTAAATGAACTCTACTGGTAGGGGTGGGGTTCCCCCCCCCCTTAGCCCAAAGATTAATTTTTTTTTTTAATTAAGCAGGAAAGACAAACGAAAGCAAAATGCCAAACGCCAAAATTTCAGAACTGGCTTTCAGATGGCAGAGAGGAAGACGATGGACAGGGTCTAAGTCCACACAGAATTGCGTGGGAGACATAAACACACATTCTTTGTTTGCAAGCTATATTCCCCTTTTTAATCCATCTGGACAAACTACAAACTACTAAGCACTTGCGTCCATTGTTAAGGAATTTCTCCATTCCGATCTTACAAAATAACCCGGGGGAAAAAGTTTGGTGATACAGGGAACGTGTGTTTTGAGGTTACCATTTTGATCATCTGGATAAGGATCCTTATGACCACAGCTGAGCCCAAAATTTGTTGCTAAACAAGACAGTTTAAGGGAATTTTGCCCCATTCTACACTTTTTTTGCCTCCGTTGTTAAGCGAATCGCCGCAGCTGCTAAGTTAGTAACCCAGTTGTTAAGTGAATCCGGCTTCCCCATTGACTTTGCTTGCTCGAAGGTCACAAAAGCGGATCACGTGACCCTGGGACAGTGCAACCGTCATAAATAGGAGTCAGTTGCCAAGCGTCTGAATTTTGTTCATGTGACCGTGGGGTTTTGCAACGGTCGTAAGTGTGAAAAACGGTCATAAGCCGTTTTTTTCAGGGCTGTTGTTAGCTTTGAAAGGTTAGTAAACAAACTGTAAGTTGCGGATTGCTGTAGCTTGAAAGCCTTTAGAAAACAATTCCACATTTTTAATCACACAACTCCTTTCAAAGGCAAATCTGTGTATCCTCTGTGGGTGAATGGCTATTCCACATTCACTTCCATAGGATTTTTTTTCCCCCAATGGAAAACACACACAGCTGCACGGTGAACAGTGCAATCAATCTGATTTCCATCTGCTTCCTCTAGCTAAATTGGAAGACTAGCATTGTTTTTTTCTTTTTTTAAAATAATAATAATAATAATCCATGTTTTCTGATCACTTTTGGATGCGCAAGCCAATTTCAAGGAGTTTAAGGAGTGGCTATCTTTTAATTTTACTCTTTCATTCATGGAGTAGAGAGAGAAAGTCGGACAACCCCCCCCCCCCGAGTCTCCGCGACAGATCAGGATAAAAATAAGTAAATTGGGATTTATGCACCCAAAATGTGTGTTGGGGTTTCTCTAAGGCTAAACTCAGCAGGGAAAAAAGTGAACACCCCCACCTAGGCGACCTTCCCAGCGCTCCTATTCACACTACTCGCTTCGCCGGCTCAGAAGAACTAACCGGCCGCGCGTTCACACGAGACGCTGAGCTTAGCCAACGCTAACCGCACTCAGTTGGAAAGGGAGAATTCACGCGCCACGCGAAGCCAGTCCCCCTCCCTAGACTCGTTTAAGGACCCATAGCGAATTGCACTCGAGCCCCTTCCGGACATCGTGTGAACCCGACCCCGAAGGTTGTCACGGGCACAACTCGCTGGCCGAGGCGGCTGGAGAGAGAGCCTCGCTGGGCGCTTCCCGGAGGCGAGTGGCTTCGAAACCCCAGACGTCCGAGGATGGGAACTGTAGTCCCGCGTGCGCCTGCGGAACGCGCTGCCCCAAGAGCTTAGGATCCGAACCCCCCCCCCTCCCCTCCCGGACAGAGACGCAGCCCCCGCCGCTTACCAGCTGTAAAGTGCAGAGGAAGATCAAAGTGCAGCGGCCGGTGCAACATCCCATCTTGGCCCCGTCCCGGGTCCCCGGGAGACCCGCGCTGGCTCCGGGCGCGGATATTCACCGAGCTGCGCCCGAAAGAGCCACCATCGCTCGGCTCCGGCGTGGTTCGACTGGAAAGAAGGAGAGCGCGCCGGAAAAGCGGCCGGAGCTAACCTCTTTCCCGGCTGCCAACAGCCCTCCTCGCTCTCTGCCCGGGGAAACAGCCGGGCTGCGCTCTGCTAACAGCTGCTGGCGACGCTTTGGGGAAGAGCCCCGTTTGCAAACTCTTCCTCGGATGAGAAAAGAGGGAGGGAGGAGGGAGGGGTGGGTGGGTAGGTGGGCGAGGGGCGAGCGCTTCTTAAAAGGGCAACGCCGGCTACAGGGGGGGGGCCTCCTGCCTGAGCTGGATGCTCTTCCCTGAGGTGCCTGTCTCAGATCCGAGTCCCCTTCGCACAAGACCCCCCTCTGACCTGGTTACTGGGTTAATCCAATGCTGCCCTTTGGAGGAGGTCCCCGACTTACAACCGTTCCTTTTAGTGATGGTTGGAAGTTACAGCGGCGCTGAAAAAGTCACCGGTGATTGTTCCCCGCCTTTATGGCGGCCACGGCATCCTCAGGGGCATGTGGTCAACCTTTGGGTGCTTGGCCACTGGCGCAAATACACGGTTGGAGTTTAGCTAATCTGGGGAATGAAACGTCTGCAAGAAAACTGCCAAGCTCAGAGAGCACCAAGTTGCTTCCGCCTTCCTCTTCCTCCTCCCCCCCATATCCCCCACTCCCTTCTAACACTGATGGTGTTACCTAGTTGGGTAATGAAAGGTCTGCAAGAAAACAACCAAGCTCAGAGAGCACCCAGGACCCCACAGTCCTCCTCCTCCTCCTCCTCCTCCCTGCAAACCCCACTCCCTTCTAGCACTGATGATGTTATCTAGCTGGGTAATGAAATGTCTGCAAGGAAACATCCACTTTGGTTGATCTGTTTGCTGTTGGCTTCTTTGGCAGTTTGGGGTATTGTGACTTAATTATTGGTCTGACATTAGCCTTGGAGTTAAATCTAGGTTGATCTGGGTGCTGATTGCTAGTGGGGAGCTGCTTGGGTCTGTTTGTTCCCTTTTGGACTGGTTGATCATCCCTTTTTGCATAATCTGTAGATCAGTGGTTCTCAACCTGTGGGTCGGGACCCCATTTGGGGTCAAACGACCATTTCACGGGGGTTGCCAAACAACGCAGTCCACCATTTTTCCCCCCTTTTCCTTAGCTATGTTATTCTATTGGCTTTTGAAAGCCAATAGAATAAACGCTCTTGAATAGAGTCTAATTCTATTGGCTTTCAAAAGCCAATAGGAATTGTCCAGGCTGTCTCTGCCCTGCTGAGCCCGCCAAAAGTCCCATGCTGCAAACGGTGCTGCACCAGTTGACTAGTCCTCGACTTACGACCGGTTGGGGGTCGTGGCGTTAAAAAGGTTGAGAACCACTGCTGTAGATGTTGTTAATGTCTATGTGTCTATTGATGGCTGATTCGTCTAGTTCAGTGATGGCGAACCTTTTAGAGACTGAGTGCCCAAACTGCAACCCAAAACCCACTTATGCATCATCGGGTGCCAGGTGGGTGTGGCCCATTGGGTGGGGTGTGGCCCATTGAGTGGGCATGGCTGCGGTCGTAACAGCAGACTGGGTGGGACTAAAAAGTTCAATCAATCAATTCCAACTTTGCAAGATCTTTTTTTTCCCCCACGAGAAGTTGAAATTGACTGATTGATTGAACCTTTTTTTTTTTTTGTACACAACGGCAGAGGCCTAAAGCGAAAAGATTTTATAAAACCCAGCTGAAGGCCTAGGACTGGGGCGATGGCGCGCGTGCCCACAGAGAGGGCTCTGAGTGCCTCTTCTGGCACCCGTGCCATAGGTTCGCCACCACTGGTCTAGTTCTGGGATGATTACATTTTCCCAATTGAAACTAGAGTTAAAACAGTCTATATGTTGGTAAAGAATTTTCATCATGTCTTCTGACTGCTAGTTGATATTTGTGGTGTGATGTTCAAAAACCTGCCAAAGAAGCCAACAGCAAACAGCTCAATCAAAGGGCCTCTAAGACCACCCCCACCAACACTGACAGCAAGTCACCAGAATATAAGCTGACAGCAAACCACACTCCCTACTAGCACTGATGATGCTACCTAGTTTGGCTAATGAAATGTCTGCAAGGAAACCACCAAGCTCAGAGAGCACCAAAGACCCCACAGTCCTCCATGCCGGCTGGGGAATTCTGGGATTTGAAGTCCACAAGTCTTAAAGTGGCCAAAGTTGGATAGCCCTGCTCTAAAGCATTTCTGAAGAGGAACATATAAGGTCCGTTGGAAGAACTTCAAGGAAGGCGAAGTTTCCACTTCAAGTGTCAGCCTGTTGCACTGGCTCATAATTCATGGAATCAGGAAGTTCCTCTTTGTAGCCTTGTAGTTTTAACTCACTGGTTCTGTCAGCAATCCCAGGTAAAGCAGACAGGAATCCCGACTAGATGGGCTAATTTTCCTGCATTGCACAGTTAAATTAACAGGATCGTTCCAAAATTGAAAATGCAAATATTCCACTGTCATTTTTAACTATCCAATCAATTACAGCAGGTCCTTCCTAAATGTCTGCCCTCTGTGTCCCTCAAGGCCAGCGTTATAGGTAGTCCTCGACTTACAATGGCTGAAGTTCATTTAGTGACTGTTCAAAGTTACAACAGCACTGAAACAAGCGACTTACGACCATTTTTCACCCTTATGACAGTTAGCAGCATCCCCACAGTCACGGGGTCAAAATTCAGCCTCTTGGCAACTGACTCATATTTATGACGGTTGGGATGGTCCTGGGGTCATGTGGTCCCCTTTTGTGACCTTCTGACAAGCAAAATCAATGGGGAAGCAACTGTGTTACTAACTGAACAACTGCAGTGAGTCACTTAATAGTTGTGGCAAGAAAGGTCGTAAAATGGGGCAAAACTCCCAACAACTCTCTCCTTAACAACAGAAAATGTGGGCTCAACTGTGGTCTTAAGTAGAGGATTGCCTGTACAGGTTATGTGGGGGTAATGGAGGATAAGCCCATTCTATCTTTTTTTTTAAAAAAAAAAGTTTTATTATTATTATTGTTATTTAAACAGAGTTCAATAATAATTATTCAACCAAAACATGTTGTCTGAGTATCTTATTCACTAATACCAATTAAATTCCTAATCCCTAAATCTTTTCTCTAACCATTGATAAAATAGGTCCCAAGTCTGAAAAAATTCTGTTTCTTCTTTTTTCTTTCAACCTTAAAGTAAGACTGTCCATTTCCGCACAGTCTAGTATTTTTTTGATTATGTCTTCTTCTGGTGGTATTTCTTTGTTCTTCCAATATTGTGCAAATATAATTCTTGCCTGCTGTTATCACATGTAGAATCAAATACGTACTTTGCTTATCAAGTTTTTCTGGCATTATACCTAATTAAAAAAATAAGGTTTATAGTCTATGTGTTTCTCTAACATTTTTTCTAACCAAGTGTATATTATTGTTCAATATCTCCTTGCTTTAACATTCTGTCTGCTGTGTGACAACCCTTTAGATACAAAGTTCTCTGAGGTTTCCCAAAGTCATCCCAGCTCCTTGAAGACCATCATGCCAATGGTAATGAATTCTAAATGCTTAATATATTTTATGGGGACTGGTTGGAGGACATCTACTTTCTTTGAGTGAATGGATCGGGTAAGAGGAAACTGAGAACCTATCGTCTCAAGGAAAAGAATAATCGTTGGCCATCTAGATTAACAGAATCAGAGCTGTCATTCACTTAACAGCTGCAGTGATTGATTTATTTCACAAAATAACAGAATTAGAAGGGACCTTAGAGATCTTCTAGTCCAGTGGTTCTCAACGTTTGTGTGACGGCGATCCCCGTCACACAAACGTGCCGCGCATGTGCGGCGGCGCCCCCTGAGGGGGAAAAATGGCGGATCGCCTTGTTTGGCAACCCCCAAGAAATGGTCGATCGACCCCAAATGGGGTCGCGACCCATAGGTTGAGAACCGCTGTTCTAGTCCAACTCCCTGCTCAGGTAGGAAACCTATACCATTTCAGACAAATGGTTGTCCAATCTCTTCATAAGCATAAGCAAGACACTGACCAGATAAGGAGGATGTCCACTTTGATCTCCATTGATAAAAGTTTGACTGGGAAGGATGAGCATTGTAGTGGAGACCATTGGAAGCCTCCAGAGAATTATAAATGTCCCTCAAGACCGAACATAACAGTACAGAATAACAGAGTGGAAGGGATGTTGGAAGTCTTCCTGCTCAGGCAGAAAGCCCTATACTATTTCAGACAAATGGTTGTCCAGTCTCTTCTTAAAAATCTCCTGTGTTGGACTACCCACAACTTCAGGAAGCAAGCCATTCCACTGATTCTCGCTGTCAGGAAATTCCTCCCTGAGTTCTAGGTTCCTTGATTAGTTTCCATCCATTACTTCTTGTCCTGCCTTCTGGTGCTTTGGAGAATAGGTTGGCCCCCTCTGCTTTGTGGCAGCCCCTCAAATACTGGAACACTGCTTTCATGTCTTAAGTTAAATGAAGTTGTTAAGCGTAGTGTAGTGTAGTGTAGTGTAGTGTAGTGTAGTGTAGTGTAGTGTAGTGTAGTCAGTGGTGGGATTCAGCCGGCAGAACCGGTAGCTAAATTTTGCTGAGTTCGGAGAACTGGCTTAATGCACAGTGCTTCTGGAAGTCCATTCTAGGCCTCCGAGGCCTGGAGGAGACCTTCCCAGCCTAGAATGGCCCACCAGAAGTGTGTGGATGCCACATCCAGAAGTCCCTTCTAGGCCTCGGAGGCCTGGAGGCTTCCCAGGCCTAGTACGGCCCGCTGGAAATGCGTGGATGCCACTTCTGGAAGTCCGTTCTAGGCCTCGGAGGCCCAGGCCTGCATCCAACAAGAGAACCGGTTGTTCAGGTATATGAATCCCACCACTGAGTGTAGTGTAGTGTAGTGTAGTGTAGTGTAGTGTGTCATCAGCTTAAAGTCATTTTGTTGCCATAAATGGCCACGTTCAACCCCTCCACAATGCTGTTGACCCTTATCTGATGGCAATTTAGTGTTGAACTTTAGTTGACCAGGTTTTTCTGTATAGACTTGAATACATCTTCTTTTATGCAACTTAATGGATGGTCCTGATCTGTTACGCCTGACATTTTCCAGCCCAATATGTTCCAAAGTCTTGAAATTACATTTTTTTTTCTGAATTTCTAGGCAACGTGTTATAGGGAGA